TTATAAATCTTCTCCATTCTACGCGGCATTGACGAAGTAAATTGTGCCAAAATGGCACTCCTAAAAGCCACGAAACAAAACGATTATAAACCACTATAAATAAATTATCAAAATTTAATTAATTTATTTTAGCAATTAAACTTTACGACAATGTATTAATTAATATTCATAAACTAACATACATACCTTCAATAATTTTATACATACACATATATGGATATAAAGATTAATGGATTTGACAAATTCGGCGGCTGGTTCCGTTTTCACTTTGACACACTTTCTGACTGCATTATATAAGATGGCGCCTAAAACTTTTAAAAGCTCGTTCGCATAAACTTTCTTGGGAAGTGAAGATTTAACTTTGTTAAATACTCTAAATCTCTACTCTGCAAAGGGTTGCAACGATTTGAATCAAATTTAGACAGAAAACCAATTTTTATATATTTGTCGAAAAACGTCGTGCGTAGCGAGCCGCTCTCACCCAGATACTTAATCTATATACACATAAAAACAAAACTGTTCAGTAACATTTTCTCCTCTTATGTCAACCGTTTTTTTTTTTTTTTGTTTTTTTTTAAGTGGCTATAGACGAGCTGTAGTGATATTAATAAAAAAAATGAAAAGAGTTTTTCTGGCATAATTATGGTCGAATTATGAACATTGGGCAAATAGTAGTTTATTTTATTGTTTGGGAAGTACATATTCTTTCATACTACCTAATATTTTATGTTGGTAGTTCATTCAAAGATAAAAAACTAGGGATATTTCCTAAAAAGTTGTATGTATATATAAACGAATATATTTTGTTTATTTGTAACTTATTGAACAGTACGTTACAATACCGTTTATTCGACTGCAATGAAATTTTGTGGAGTTGTTTACCATAAGATTCTTGACGTAATTAGTACAATTATTTTTTTTTAATAAAACTATCTTTTCGGATTTTTTCGCCAATTTATTTTGATTTTTGGTTCCCGACGTTGATCAAAAATCAAAATAAATCCGCGAAAAATCCGAAAAGATTGTTTTATTTAAAAAGATTAATGTTACTAATTACGTCAGGAATCTTATGGTGAAATCTTATGGCTTTATATGGAATATTAACATTAATCTATTAGACTAGTATTAAAATTGCGAAAGTATGTATATGTGTATGTGTGTTTTGTTACTCTTTCACGCTGAAACGGCTTGATGGACTTGATAAAACTTAGTACACTCTTAGGCTACTGTTGGGTATATAGGGATGCACCCATTTGGAGCGAGGATAAATCGCTAGTGAATCTGCTAATGTATATTCATTATTTTGAGATTTATTTAGTTGATACTACTGGGACCCGCGGCTTCTCTCGCGCTGAAAACTACAAAAAAAGCTCTAAAGTAAGAAAGTTTTATATAAGTTTTCATACAAACTTTCATATCCTATCTTATCCCCTTATAAGGGGATACGATAGGATATATATAGAATGAATTTCGAAAAATGCTTAAACGTGTATTTATTTAATTGTATTGTAAAGCATTAATAACAAATTTCAAGTAAAACTGAACACACACACAACAAGTATTATAAGGTTCCCCGTGGTAATCACATAATCTCCCGCAGTAAAAATATCAATTGTCACTCTCCAGCCCTCACACTGTCTCCACACAAAAAATCACACCAATACATCACTGTGTTTCAACGTGAAATAAGTATAAACACAAAAAACAAACAAACAAAGAAACAAATAAATAAACAAACAAACACATTTTCACATTTATAATATTAGTATGGATATAAAACACTGGCAATTAACAAGAACGTTGCTATTAGTTAATAAATAAATAGTCCCACTTCAGATAGACTTAATTCACATATAAAATTAACATCCGGCTTACTTTTGACCATCGAGTTCATAACAGGTAATAATAATTCAAACTGCAAACAAATTCTGCTAATATTTAGTACTGTACTCTTAAATGGAGGTCACGAATTCGAATCTAGATCACGATAAGTATGTATTTTGTTCGCAATTTCAAAATATTACATGCATCTAAAAATTTAATAATAAAATAAGTAATAAGAGAAAACGGAGATGAATCTTGCAAATATTGAAATAAGAAGCAGCTATGCTTCTAAAGAGGATTTGTTTGTGTGTTTGTTTGTTTGACCGCACTAATCTCAGGAACTACTAATCCGAGTTGAAAAATTATTTTCGCATTAGACAGCCCATTTATTGAGAAAGGCTATAAGGCTATATATCATTATGCTTCTACCTAAGGGAGAGTAGCAGAAATATAATATAGTCTATCTATACCATACTAACAGTTAAAACGTACCTAGGGACGTACCCGAGCGGAGCAAGGGTGAGCCGCTAGTCTTGTATATAGAGAATGTATCTATCAACTTTCTATGCTTCATACTTAGTAGTTTAGTACCATTACTGATATCGAATTGTCAAGTTTCTCGCAGGTTCTTCTCAGCGAGCCTTCCGAGCCGGTGCATGCTTCCTCAAATATGCTAACTTTTAATTATAATTTAAAATTGAAATTTCAAAAGTACTTGTAAAAATCCATTTGAATCATCTTTATTTTGATTTAATTTAATTTAATTTGAACTGCTGCGTAATAAGTAAATCCTGTTGAATCCATCGGGACGGTAAGCACTACTATATACATATGTATGTATTTAAAAGAAATTGCGATTTTCACAAATGTATGGAAGCCAGCTATAATATAGCCAAGACTGAAAACCCCATATTAATGTGAAAGTAGGTGAATGGATTATTTCTAGGTTTCACTATTAATTGAAATATGAATCAGTTTACTTGTCGATTTTACGCATTATGGAAATAATCTAAAAGTAAATTTATATTAATTATACTTAATTTTTTTAATATTACTATCATTAATTATATCATTTATGAGATTTATTCAAAAATATTTTTTAACAATAATGATATATGTATACTATGACATTTTTTTCTTCATTATTGTTGTTAAAAATCTAAAATATAACTTATTAAATAAAACTATCTTTTCGGATTATTTCGAGAATTTTTTAATCAAAAATCAAAATAACTCCGAGAAATAATCCGAAAACATAATTTTATTTAAAATGTCAAATATTCGCATAAATCTAAGAAAGTATTATATAACTTATTTTTATAGCTCTAAAATATAAATTAAATTAAATATTTATATTTATTTAAATAAAGAAACCATATTTGCTATTAATATATAATATTAAACATTTGGCTCAACGGTCTAGTCTATCATACAGCTGCAGATCCGGATATCCTGGGTTCGATCCCTGGTCGGGCTAAGTTTAGTTATTGAGATTAGATTAACAGGAAGTCAAAAAAATCTGATTTTCAATGGTAGTAGTGCTCATCTCAGAGAACATTATAAAGGCTTCGGTCCTGAATCTGATCTCTTGAAACTGGAATTTGAGAGTAGGAAAGTAGAAAAGGCTGTGGATGGCTAGCATTAGTAAGACTGACCACCGTAGACAAAATCAGGAGAACGTTATCTATACATATAATAAAATTGTAACCAAGCTGAATCTGTATATTAAATTTTTTTTGGAAAGTCTTGTTTAAATAAACATTATTATCGATACAGAGGCCGAATCTATAGTTTTTAGAATTTTATCTGTCTGTCTGTCTGTCTGTTACCGCATCACAGAAAAACCACTGGAGGGATTTTGATGAAATTTGGTATAGTGATAGCTGGTTATCCGGGTCAACATGTAGGATACTTTTTACCGCGGGAAAATGTCTCATTTCTGAGAAAAAATACGTAAACTACAATGTAAGAGTATACTAATATTTAAAACCTAAGAATTTGGTTTTCGGTCATCTGAACGCGGGCGGAGCCGCGGGTAATGCCAGTTATAATATATAGCTGCGTCATTTACCCCAAAAGAATACCTTGCCTGGTAGTAATATTAATGTAAATAATAATGGCATTAAAAAGTAGCGTAAATAAGTAAATTATATATTATTATATATTGGTATTCATAGTTGCAATCATATAAATATGTTTTATGATTTGCAATCATATAAATATGTTTTATGATTTTACATCACCTAAAGTGATCAAACTCTAGAATAACACTAATACGGTGGCAGTAGTTAGCTCGTTGAAGTCTTTTATACTACACAAATATATCATGCTAACGCCATCTATGTGACGTTATATAAATTACTTCTGTAACGTATTTAATGTGGAATTTATGTTAAAGACACACTTATATGAAAGTTTCGCTTAGAAAGAGACGATAGGTGGCGCTTGTTTGCATTAGAATAGTCTCTCACTTAAATGTAATTAAAATTATATTAAATTCGCCACCTATTTTAATTTAGCTTACATAGTAAAAACGAATTCGTTAGAAATTATATTTTTAAAAGTTTCGCGAATTATTTTTATTACAAGAAAAAAATATTTAAGGAAAAGTTAAAAATGGAACAGTACAAGTATTTTTGTATACATTGGACGTTTGAAGTGTTTATTTAATAGTATAAATTTATAAAACCTTGTTACGTAAGTATCCAATCAGAAATGAGATAAAATTATAAACCTTATTTAGTAGATTTTTTATCCGACTAATATTTACTTTTTAATAATATAATATTTTTATAAATACAATAATAGCATCTTAATATTGCTTAATTATAAGCAGCAGCATTATAATTGTTTCATCTGAACACCCAACATTAACCCACTACAATGACGTCACGCCCAAAATGCGGTTGCTGAGCAACGGTTACATAAACTTCATGTCAGAACGCACTTTACATAACTCCCTCTTAACCAGTCGCAACTCAGCGGGGGCTGTCTACAAACTCAGTCCGCGATCTACTCCCGACCGAATCACACGCGTTACCAAAAATAAAATATGAAATTGTATTAAAAAAAACTTATTATTATTACTTCCCTAAACGTTATAAACGAACAAAACAATAAAAATCGAGTAAAAAGTAAAATGAAAGTGAAGCCCAGAGAGCAGTGACCGCGCCAACATGTTCAGCGAAAATATATGGAAAGTGATTCTACTCATGGCCGCGTCAGTATGTGCCGTTGAGCCGAGCCGCGCGCTAAGTATATACCAAAAACCTCGGACTTACCCCATGTTTATACCAAAAAATCGAAAAAAATTGAGATCGCGAGTCATATTTTTAGATGAAGATGAAAATAGCCAGCCTTTAGGTCGAGGAGAAATTGATCTGACGAACGATAAGTATACTAAAATTAAATTTGATGATACAACCGATTATGACTTCACATCCCCAGATGTAACAGAAAGTCCCAAAGATAAAGTTTTTGAAAATGAGCGATTCTACGATCCTAGACTACGTCTTTCTTTTCCAAGATTCTACCAGGGTAGGTTTAATCGGCCATACGCTCCAAATTTCGCTTTCGAACCCTTCCAGCCATATGCTCCCCCACGAACAGGATTTATTGGGTCCAGTCTTCCAAATCCAAATCTAGGGTGGAAGGCCCGAAGTCCCAGGGTAGTGTTTCCCTATACTCCTGACAGTAACAATAATCTTGTGCAAACTAATTCTCATGGGGGACCAACTTTTAATGACAATGTAGTGTTTCGTGATCAAAATGTCGGGATTAAACCAGTAAAAAATGATGACCAGAACCCCCAAACCCTTCAAGATATAGGAGATGGAGCAGATGCTTTCACGGAGAGAGGTAAGTCTAATTTAAATCACAATTGATGAAATATTTTATTTGTAACAATGCCAGACTTTCGACAGGGTTGCGAAAGCACGGACTTGTAAGAAAGTGTACCGTGCGTCATTATTTGTCTTCCGCAATAGATATTATAGTGAGAGTGCCTTAAGATATGAAATATATAAATATATACTATATTCGCTAGCGACAACTTTTATAATATGATAATAAATATATAATAAATTTTATTTTTATACTGTAATTTTTAAGATATTAATTGCTTAAATTATTACTTTAATTGCACTTTTTTAAACACATTTTTCCTTAAAAGTAAAAAAATCTTCAACTCAAGACGAGTTGAATATTTTTTTAGTTTTAAGGACACTTTGTTACGACCCTTACTATACTTTTGTAGCTTTCAGCGACTTTTTTTTATATTACGATTTATTTTAATTACAAACCCTGTGTAACTTCTATTTTAATAATATTTATAAATTTAATTGTACAACACAAAAAAAGCACAATAAAAAAAAACAAAAAGTAAGTTTATTGGTTGGAGTTTATTGGTTGTATTCCAGAGGACCTTAAGTGAAGGAGTAAATATGTACTAAAATGGTATTCTGTGTAAGTGGTTTAAAAGATATGGAACATAAATATACTAACATACATATAACAATATAAATTCTCTCACGTAATATACGTATAGAAAATTATATATTAAAAAATATAATCTTCGTTTTATCCCCAACCTCTATGCTACAGAAACTCTTTATATAAAAAAGCTATATTTTTACTCTGAGTACAACTTTTTATTTGTAAATAATTAGAAATTTTTATGATGCTATTTTTTGAGAAAACATTTTTTTTAATTTTGAACTTATATTTTCGTAAAATTATTGGTTTGAACTAAAGATTCAATCTTTTGAATAAAATTCAGATTTCAGATTAGATTATAGGAAACACATCTTTTACACTAAAATGAAAGGATCAATATGAAACAGGCCTATAGAAATATAGGAACATATACATATGGTTTGTTTTTCAAGCATCATAAGAAATTATATGCATGAAGATATCTAACGATACATCAAATCTTAAACCTACAGCTATAATTTCTAATACATTTTTCGCCTCCTCCAACACCAGAATAATAGCTGTCACGTAATACTGAATAGTATGTTAATTTAAAAATTATAAATATTAAACAATTAATCAAAGAAATCGAAGTGTCAAATAAACTAGAAGCCTATTTCCTACATATTAGAAAATTAAATGGAAAAAGTTATTTAAAACGGGAAAAGAATTTGCGGCGGTTAAAATTATTTTGATTAGTTTTATCTAAACAAAAATAAACTTTATGATTAATGATATAAAGTTTAAAATCATTTGTCAGTTGTAAACTCTCATTTTTCATACTCGCGTGACAAAATGTCGCGTGTAGTCAAATGAAGGGTACAGTTTAATTACTATTTCATATTCCAGACATCTTTCAATACAATGTTGGATTAAACATTAAAAAAAAAAACATTTGGTTTTTAAAAATAATATTGTTTATTTAATCAGCTGATTTCGTTGACGGTTTAAGCGACATTACGTATGTCAAAAATATATAAGTACCAGTGTTTTCCTATAGTTAATGTACTCATATAAATGCTCCACTTTTTTTCATATCATCCCCCATTTTCCATTCCCAACAGGAACTTTCTAAAATTTCTAAGTATTTTTCAACACAAAGTTTATTATCCAATTTGGTCACTGTAATTTTAAAAATAACAAATTTTCATACAACCTTGCAACTCTTCTTTTATCTGTTTACGGTTTGAATTTCCAAAAATCCTTTATTAGCCGATAGCTATATATGTGTAATCTACATGCATATTTCTAGGTTTTAGCATCTATACTTTCTAGGATATTTTATTCGATTCCGGCCATAGCGGCCAATCTCACTGAGACTAGCCAACTGCAGGAGATATTATAGTGCACAAGTGTTCGCGCAGACACAAGTGTAGTAGTAGTCCTAAAGTTTTTCAAAGTCTGATGGGACGATACTTTGACACGACTGGTGAGAGTTAATGCGCAGGACTGACGGGTTTTCGTGCTCTCCGAGGCACAAGAGTGTTACACCAACTTCCTAACTCCGGGCTACTACTGAGTATAACTTAACAAACTCAGTAATTAAACTCAACTCAACCTGAGAATAGAACCCAGGTCCTCCGGATTTGCAGCTGTACATGCTAGCCACTAGACCACCGAGGCAGTTAGGAGGCAGTATAGTAAAATAAAAAATGTGATTGTGTGTCTGTGTGATTTGAACTCTAACAAATTTATTGAAAAAACACCTGAATTGAATAACTACCTCCTTTTCGAACTCGGTATAAAATGAATCTAAAATATCTTAGACAGTATAAGACGATGTTTTCCCTATCTGTAGAAAAACACTTGTCATTTTCAATTTTATCGGATGGTGAGAACTTATACGAGATGACAATCGGTAAGAGTATCTCGTAAAGCAATATTTAGATACCTTGTGTAAGAATGATGGATGCGTACTAATGTGTAGGGAAAGTATACACTAATATCTTCATAAGAGCTTCTAGTAGTAAGGGAGAGTCATACCAACTGGTATGACTCTCCCTTATGGGTCGGGAGTTCTATTTCCAAGTAGGAACGTCGGTGTAACTTTGTTTATAAAATGAATTCCAAAATATAATGATATGTAGCCTGTTTTTTTAAAGAGGAAATACAAAAAAATCAAAATAAAGCAATAAAGTAAAGATCAAACTAAATATTTAAAAAATATTTAGGAAGCTCAGTACTATCTTATCAAAATTTTCCACTCTATGCTTAAAAACATTTAGGTGACACCATGTTTACGACTTTAGAAGGATATAACTGTATAACTGCGTTAAATAATTAAATTATAAAAATAAAAAACCTAACTTAAAAAGCAAATTAAATAGATGAAAACAAGTTGACGAGAAACATAGTTTTATTTAGTCGGAGACATACATACGAGTATATCTTTCATTCATGCTCTAGTTTTACACAAGGTTCCGTCTTTGCCTCTTGCCTACGAAACTAAAATAAAACCATATACTCCAAAAATACCAGCATCACATACAGATTAGAAACCTAAAAGCGCATGCAGCACAAATGCTCTCAAAACTCCGAAAATTGCCATGTGGGCTCATCTAGCGTAAATTATGTCAAAATTGACACGAGAATCACGATAAAATAAAACTAAAACACTTCACAGGTATGGAAAAAACTCTGTGGCATTCCCATAATAATGTAGTACGTATGTATATAATAATAAAAAAATCACAATCTGGTTAGTAATTATTACATTTAATGTAAAATATATTCAATCATATGGGATATAAATTACTTTGAAGCCATCTTTGAAATACAACTTATTTATTCAATGAGTTCACAATTACCAAAGACATCTTGTAAATAACAACTCACACTAAAAAAACAAACAGACAAACAAACACACACTCTAAAACATCGAGTACCTTTCACTCTTCAAAGTCGGTGAAAAGCCATATAAAGAGTATCACCAAAATCATTAAAAAAATATTAGAGCAACCCATATTTGCAGCTTTAAAGCATTTCTACTAAATGAGGCTCCATCCATTACGTCGTCGTTACGTCAGCTGTTTTTGACAAGAACATTGTTGCGTAAACCGAAAGCGAATCTAGAAAGTTAATGGCCGCATTTTAGTTAAGTAGCTCATAATAGAACCTATTTTATATGGATCGTTTAAATATACTGTGTATATTCACATTAAGTGAGTTAGTGAGTGAGTTTTAGTGCTGCTACTTTAAACTCTGACACTTTAACACTTTTCTAATTAGGAATGGAGATAGCTTATATCCTAGATGAGCATATAGGCTAAATTTATTTAGCCCTTTTACCGTCCCACTGCTGGGGGGTGGGCCTCCCTTAAATACGAGGGGGATCAGTCTATAGTCCACGCTGGCCAAGTGCGGTTTGGCGGATTTCACATGTCTTTCGAAAACTTGCTAAGTTCTCTCAAATACGATGTTTTCCTTCACCGTAAAACTAGTCGTAATCATGTTGGAAATTATTCGCACATGAAGATATAAGAGGTGCGAGACCCAGGATTTGAACCAGCTTCGCTCGGTTTCCCAAGTGAGCCCGTTAGTTGGCTGCAACTACCTCTATAGGCTAAATGCTATTAATGTACCTTGCGAGTGAAGGCATATACAAATGCTAATCTATTTGTTATGCTACATGTTAAATAAAACTATTTTTTCGGATATTTCGCTAATTTATTTTGATTTTTGATCACACTCGAGCGAAGCGAAAATAATTCGCTAGTTATAAATAAAACTAATTTAAGCATCTTTCAGTGATTTGAAAAATCTATTAAATACATATGTTGGGACATTACCACCCAGCATCATCTAGTTCCATAATAAACTACGAGGATTGTGTTATGGATACCAGATAGTTGACACATTACACATATGTATATAACTTTATGTAAATACAATATGCTATTATTATATTATAAGCACCCATGACTGGAGTACAAACATTCGTGCTCATCACACAAATGAATGCCCCCAGCAGGACTCGAACCTGCGATCGCGACTGCGGCACAGCAAGTAGGGTTACTACAAACTGACGTCTTAATTATTTTTATTAATCCATATTGAGATTTCTCATTTGTTTACTTACATCAGTTTTTGTCCGTATGTTTGTACGCGGTGATCTCTTTAATGGCAAGACTAATTTCACCAGTACTTTCACTAGTGGGTAGAGGATTTAGGGCGAGAAACATAAAATTTTAGATGCGAATGGAGCCGTGGGCGTAAATTAGTCTTAATTTTTTTCCTTTCATTTTCTTTTCCTATATACATACATATTTACAAGTCCGTTCAAGTAGTATATGTAGATAGTTTGTCAATATCTGGAAAATCTCAAGTTTTTTTAAGAGCTGACAAATTAGTATTAATTGCTAGTTTAAAGTACTGTAAAGTATATCATTTTGACTTTTATGATTTTTTT